AATATCCACCCATGCGTTAATCAAAATGTTAATTTTCTTTCAAGAAAATAAATTTTTAAGTTTACGCGTAAACCTCCGAATCGCTTGCTGCCCCTCTACTGACAACAACGAGCACGGGCGCTCCTGACGTCATGTATTCGAGGGCAGACGACGCTTTAATAGTAAGCGTCTGTATTTTTTTTTTTTTGTGAGTTGCGTCTGGTTTAGGTTGTTGCGGTATGCGATGGAGGGTATGGAGTATTGGGGTGCAATAACAGCACGAAGAAATGCAGCGCAGTGACATCCTATTGGTTTTCGACCGAAAAGAGCCTGCGACGGAAGTGGGTTCGAGCAGTCTGACGCGAACGCTGGCTCTACAGTGCTGGCTCCTGGCTCCTAGCGTTCGAAGCCATTCTGCATCGAAGCGGCATCTGGGTACACATGTCGGCGAATCTCGAATGTAGCCCCCACGGGAGGTCCCCTCGGAGGCGATACCGACGGATCGGATGCCAACGGCGAATCGTCTGAAATCTCGTGCTGATCATCTTAAAGACCGACGACCAGTTCGCGCTTTCCACTTTTCTCCCGCTTTCTCCTCTCCCCCTTTCTACCCTGTCCACCATTGCCTGTTTCCTCCTCTCCCGTGGTGAGGAGGATCTTCTGCCTTGCAGAATCTCGAGTCTGGTCGTCGTCCTTTAAAACAGTTCACTGCTTGACTAAGGAAGCTTGATCAATCGTAGTCCATTATAGTTCCCACGAACCATCGCAACGGCCTTGTGACTACCCCTGACGCTTGGCAAACACGTTCAAGCTGCCCATATTGCTGATGTTTATACATCTGACGTCACAACAAAATGGTGGACCAGTAAATGTGCAGGTTAGTTTCGATTTCGGTTACATCATACATCTCCAGTTAAAATTATTTTTGAAAAAGTATTTGGAAAATGTATGTGTTGCCCTGAGTTTAGTTTCGTGTGATCTTTCAGAAAATATGTTTAAAGGGCCATTAAAAAAAAAGTTTTTTTAACAGTCTGGTTGGGAGACGCGTGTAAAAAACAAATGAAATGTACGCGAAAAAAAAAGTTTTAGAGCAGTATTGACGGCGCGAGACGCGATTTAGTCGGTAGTCCCTTCCTTTCCACTTCTTTTCTCTCTGTATTTGGGGTGCGTGGAGGAGAGGTGGATCGGCTTGGCCATCACATTGAGGTGGAGAGAGCGTATGACCATCTCGTTGAGATAAAAAGAGCGAATGACCCTTCCGTGACGTCATAGACTTCGCGCGCAGAATTTCAAATAAATATCTCGCCATCAATATTGCTCTATTTTTTTTTTTTTTCACGTAAATGTTATTTTTTGACATGTGTGTCCAAACCAGACTCATTCGTTTTTTTTTTTTTTTTTTGTGCATTTTAGTTGTAAACGTTCTAATTGACGCCGGAGCTCCCCTTTAGACGGACCATGGAAGACGGGCACCTTTTGGAACAACGTCCCTCTGGAAATCATCCAGAAAGTCGACAATCCCCACAACAGTCGCCGCAACTTAAAAATTTCGCCCGCGAAACCCTTTCCTATAATTCCCTGCTGACTCGGCAGTCGTGCGTACGGTTGCTGGGCTTCCATGGCCAAACTTAGCCCCAAGCATTCTCGCAGCCAAGTGCGAAAAGAGCCGGCGATAGTTTATGCACAGCGAGAACATAAAGATGCCCTGTCGGAAGCGTTCTTTTATGGCTTTCGTTCCGGTATGCTACAGGAGTTCGTAGCGAGACGCTCGTCAAACTGCAGCGCGGTGCCCCGCTCCTCCCACACGAAGCAAACCAAACTTGTGCTGAATCCGACAGTATCGATGTGACGCGAACATCACACCCCTTTGGTGCGACTCGGTCGACAGTGTACTTCATTTACCCGAACGGTTCGGCGCAGGGGAACAAAGCAGTCGTATACGCTGGACAAAGATCAGCGAAACGAATGGAACCAGCGAAGCGCGTGGCCTCACGTACCTGTAGCGCCATCTGCCAGGAGAAGCGGTCAATCTTGTGTCGCGAAATGCACGTGCGCACATCTGAGCCAAGCACTCAGCGGCTGTTCGTGCTCGCTGCACAACCCCTGGTAGCTAGCTGATCAACGCTGGCCATGAATTTGCACCATGTCGGCAATTATTTTTTTTTTCAGTACCGTAAACGGGTTTATTAGTTTCCAAATGTTAAAAGTTGTAAAAAAAGTGACCACCTCTCACAGTGATCTCACTGTTCATACTAAATAAATGTGCTGTGTCATGACACGTGTGTGCTTTCTTTTAGACTAAATAAATAAAATGTCTCCTGTTTTCGCTCTTTTTTTTGTAATATATATTTGGGGCAATATATAACTTCACATCGTGAAGGAGAGATAAAAATTACACGTGTCACGCTATGAATAAAAAAATTGACGTTCATGCTTTGTGGCAGTCACGTATCTGGAGTTGCGCCCCGGGCGCGAAAATCCGCTGCTTGCTTTGCTCAGCTACGCGCATGTTACGACCTTCGACACCAGATTGCACGGCTTCTCTCGGCAGATGTAGCAACAGACGCGAGGTCACGCGCTCTGCTGGTCTATTTCGTTTCGTTCAGCACTGCTCATGACTGTATACTCCGTTGAAATGCTTAGAAGTGTCAGAGTTTCTGAGCTAACCAATGTGAATACCTGCCGTGTGTGGCTTTATTGTTGGTGCGCAGACTTTCCGTACTTAGTTGTGGTAAATGTTTATCCTTTGGGGGGAATAAAAACAAGGAAAATAATTGACATTATTCGGTGGTTCAAAGTTTCACATAGAGCTGGATGAATAATCTACATTGGATCTGTTTTTCTTCCGAGCCGAAACTAAATACTTTTACACAATTTGCCTTATTATGTGTGTGTGTGTGTGTGTGTGTGTGCGCGCGCGTGTGCGTGTGCGTGTACGTGTGTGTGTGTGTGTTTTCCCCAGTATATCTGCGGGTTTATGTCCTTAAAATGATATATAAATTACCATAACCTAACCAATCCCGATACCAAAAGTGATGAAGACTGACAGGCGGCTATTGTTAATGGTGTGCATAACTGGATTACAGAGAGACGCAGGGAAATCTTTATATTTTCTTTTGTGTTGCAACGAAAGCTCTTTTGTTAATGATGTAAGATTTTTTGTTGTGATATTTCTGCTATTGTGAGATTTTATTGACCCTCATTGTTCAGCGTTGAAAACGTGCGTGTTCTTCACAATCAAAGTTTATAAACACAAGCTGCGCATAATGTGCAAGATCCAAAACATAAAAACAAAAATGCAGTACCCGAAAGATTGGACAAAGATGGACTCAACATACGTCTTGCGTTGCTTCTCCTTTCGTCTCCGGTCTTTCGTTGTATCACAGATAGGTTTCTCAATTCAGTCCGCGTGAATTGGAACTCACTTAGACATTACATTATGTAAGAGAAACAATATCGTGATATATCTATTTTTGGTGTGCCCGCATGAGTGTGGTTAAGAATGTAATAGCCGTTAGAAAGAGGTTTCGATAAACTCTTTTTTACTGACACTATATTTATTCGTGCTTGTTACAACTGTTATGGAATTGACGTCACTGTGAAGACAGCGGAAACATCTCCATTGATTTTAACAAATTAAAGAAGAAATATGAATTTATTTTTAGGAAATATTTAAAGCAGCTTCTGCAACTTCTTTTTTTATGTTGAAACATTTCTCCACGGCTTGAGTTACAGGGTGCAACGTATGATCATTTTCCCTGTCGTTGGTGACCCTGTATAATGAATAAACATTTTTAGCTAAAGTATAACGTGAGTCCACGAAAACCGCCCCCCCCCCCCCCCCCCCCCATGTCCGGCATAACCTTTAATATTTTTTGGTGAGTGGGAGGACGTCTCTTGATATTCCATGGGTGTAAAGCAGTGAACGTGATCTCGTGGTGCCCATTGAGCGTGTCGCCTGACCTAAGTGCTTAACTCAACTGACGTTCATCATATCGGATTTGTTTCGAGCGAGTTAGAGTGATATACAGGCTAAAAATAATTAGGGTGTGTGTATGTTTAGAGAGCGAGAAGTTAGTCAGCCCCCAGTGGGCGCCTGATGCTTCCGTTGTATTTGGGAAATGTAGCCGGTTCAGTACCACAGCTAGATTGGGGTCTTTAGCGCGCACTTGCATGCCACTTCGACCGAACGCGTGTGATCGTGTTCTCCTTCTCTTTTTTGTTTTGAGCGTGTCTGACGAATGTACGGAAAACGATCGCCAACGAAAGAGCGCGTGAGCCCATCAAGCCTTAAAAAGCACGCCGTTTCACAGTCAGCGGTCGGAATTAATGAGCCAATCCCCTCGGCCGTCAGGCCAACTAGGCCGCCAGTGTAGGCGGATGTTGTTGATGTTCGCCCTGTCAATAAAGAATAAGACAGAAAATGAGATATTTTCTCTAGCTCTTGACCCGGATGCGTTTGTACCGCGTGTGCGATATCGCCACACTGCGTCCACGAATCTTGATTTAAAGGACTTGAAAGGACGATGTATCGGTTTAAATCCAAGCTGCTCGCTTTTAAACGGGTGGTGTCCTTCGATTTCCACCCTGAAAATGTTTTCATGAGGATATTTCTTTTTACATGTGTACATGTGCAAGATATGCAATGTGCGCTTAATGTACATCGAAAAACAAATGTATACGATAGCCGCTTTACATTAGCATTTGCCCGTTTTAAAGCGCCAACAGGTTCACGGGTTATGACACTTCAGTCCAGTGTAGAGGAAATTAAACTTGTACAGCCGCGTTCAAGTCATGTGCCACGTGTCGCCGAGTTGGTGTCGTTATTCGGGGAGATTTACTGGTTTCTGTCTGCTTGCTATTTTTGACGTTCGTTGAGTTCAGGCAGTAAAATCATCCTTAAAAGCACTCTACGGTTTCTAGACGCGTTGTGATGACCAGTGATCGATGCGTACCCGGTGTTGGTAATCTGAGTGAAGCAAATCAATAATTCGCGATGTTTGTTTTTCTATCATGTGCAGCCACGCGTGGCCTCCCGGACACAAGAATTCCAATGTCTGCCACCTTGTGACACCAGAGTTCGCTCCTATACCTGAATGGTGAGTGAATCTCTCTTGTTTTTGTTAAATATATCTCAAGGAGAGGTGCTCTTTTCTACACGCGTATTTTGGTGACAAAGAAAATATTTCAGTATGGAGTCTAGTTAAGATGTGTAAGCCAACAAAATTTCGAGTGCGAATCGAATATACCCTATATTCTGATTCGTACTTGGTTCCCAGATCACGTTTTTGGGAACGTTGTGATACCGGCACTGGATGATTTAGACGTAAGCTAATGTGCTGCGTATTCCCTTATCTAATCTTTGTCGACTGTGTCTTGAAGCTTACATCTGTCCCAAACAATACTTGTTTTTTTCCCGTGAATTACCACAAATGTCGGCATACGCCGATAGAACGGGACTCGAAAAAAGAAGTGAATACTGTTTTCAAGAGCGAAGTGCATGCACTAAAGTTGTCACCAAAAAGCAAAGACCGGTCAGAGAACATTGCGATTCAAACCGAAGATGTTTACTGCAGGTCACCTGTTGACAATAACAAATTGAACGAGGGTCATTTTTGAACATTTCACCAAGGAATAGTGGCGTTTGGTCACTGGCATCAAGCTACTTTATATATTTTAACAGTGCGGGCTTTGAGTCGCGATATAATATTTTAGCACATCACTTTGTGCAGAAACGCACGAGAAGCCGTATCGCGCTATGCCGATGGTTGTAACTCATGAGTTATTTTAAAGTGGGAACGTTTGAAGCTTAGATCTCATAACCGATGTCACTTCCCTCTTAATTATTGGACGCATTTCAAATTATATTTGTCTCAAGCTTGAAGGTTCCCTGATGAGGTTTCTGAGATCGCCTAAATATGGTGATAACTCACTCTGCGGGCTCTGAGCATCCTAGAAAATTATAAATCATAACGATGCGCGGCCGATTTCCCTATTAAAGAAGGCAATCAAAGATCAAATTATCTCCGGTGATGGGAGCAGCATTGCTCCGGCAGCCAGGACAACACGTGACCAATGAAATCGCGACATTTCCTTGAAATGGCAAACGGTGGTATTACAAAATGTGTATGCTTTTGTAGATGATAAAAGCAAATAAGTGTTGTCGAAAAATGTATAAGTTTTGGCCGAGGGAAAACATAATACTGCCGTAATCGTCTCAAAAACCACCCACAATTTGTTTTTGTTTTTTTGTTTTTTGTCTTTCGCGGGAGTGATGTGTCCGGTCCTCAGCTCTCAAGCTCGCGCTCGCTGGGTTGAAACGTAGTACAGGCTGGATGGGCATCGAGCCGCGCGCATTCAAGATTCCGTTCCGGGGTTCCAGCGGTCGTATAGGCGCGAGGATCCTTCGCTTGCTCTTGACTGACAGTGGGCCTGGTTTCGGAACGTGCTCCTCCCATCGCCGGAGATGAACTCGGTCTGTTGGGATCTTTGATTGCTTTTATAATTTTGGAAATCGGCCGTGCATCGACATGATTTAGGGATTTCTAGGATGCTTAGAGCTAGCAGAGGGAGTTATCGCCGTATTTGGGCGATTCTCAGGAGACCTCTAAGCGATGGAATGTTTTTTCCATCGTTGTTAATAAGGGATTGCACTTATTTTGCGGCAAGGTTTACTTCGAGGGCTGAAGTTTCTGCCCCCCCCCCCCCCCCGCCCTCCTTTGTTTTCTTCTTTTCTTTGATTGACCAAACTTACTCTTGTTATTCCCTGCGATTTTACCCAAATATCTCCACGCCCTCGAAATATTTTATGCTTGCACACTCACGTCAGACACTCCCGTCTATACCCTCCGAGCTATATATTCTGCTATATACCCTCGTCAAATCCTGCGCACTGTTAGCAAGAAAGTCCTATAATTTCTGAAATTTCTTTCTTCTGACCGCTTGAAACTCGATGGACAAAGAAAGTAAAATTCACGCTGGACACGTTCAGCGGCAAGTTACCCACAAGTTAGAGATGCCTCCGTAGCAGTATACGCACTCAGGAGCATTTTTGTTTTCTTCGTCTCATGGCCCGGAGAAGGGAGGATCTTTTCGTGCTGCGTCCTTCCCGAAGCCGGGTGTATTTTGGGGCTCGGCGGGGCCAGGCGACGCATATCGGACGCGTCTGATGGAAGCCAGACAGAGCCGACGCGAAGGGCTGCTGCGCTTCCTTCGCCGTGCAGTGCGAGAGGAGCGTCCGGTGAGGCCTTAAATTTGTTTACCCCTGGCTAAGTGCGAAGACACCACCCCGAAGTGAGGCGGAGGTGCAAGCCGCTCGGAGCCTGCTCGGAGCGAGAACGGACCGTTCTATCTGCTCGCTCGCTGCTTGCCTGTTTGCCTGACTGCTTGCCGACCAGCTGGATGGCAGCTTCCGTGCCGTCGCTCGACGATACCCTCTGCAATCAGAACGAGAATTTTTTTGACTCGATTTATTACATGTTTAACTACATAAGTCGTCCTCCTATAACTGCCTAATATATATATGCAGCCTTTAGGTGTAAAATGAACATATGCGTAAGTCAACGCGATGTTTACAGACAAGCTCGCGCTTGCCCCCATCAGGTGTAGGTACCGCAAATATGGAGGAGCCAGATTTGTGTGTGGTGAGGCGTCTATGCATGCGTCATTTCGATAGCAGCGCCACCGCTGGAGCGTGACGTCAGGGCCGCGCACATCCTATAGAGGAACGAAGCGTAACTCCCCGACTTCCAGATAGGTGACCCTTGTTTCAAGTGCAACTATCTTACCGCGAACACTGTCTAATGAAGGAGGACCGTTCTATTTTCTGGTAACTGTTTTGATATATTAGGAGGCATCGGGGCGTCGGCTTTCTGATTCTCTGTACAAAATGCTGTCATCGACATACAACCTAATGTTTGATTGAACAGTCTAAAACAGACAGAGACGAACAGGAGCCATGCGAAGTCGACCCTTCCCTTACCGGGTATCCGTTTCCACACAAGATAGTGCGCCAGAAATCACCACGGGTTGTTTTCTGCAGCTCAAGTAATCACCAATCCAATCATAAACTGCAGTGTAAATCTTGCTTTTAAGTTTACACATTACGTGTGCACGAAGAGCCATGCCGAACGCTTTTTTTTAACTTTGTACATTTGATTGCATTTAATTATGTTTTTTTATTTACTTATTGTCACTATCCGTTCCCTTACGTGGGACTGTAGCTGTCCATATTCAACAGGGCATAATAAAAGCGCATATCGTTTATAGTATGAATCCGCAGTACTTTCATAACGCAACTATAATAATTGTTAGGTGAAAACACAATTGTCAGTGTGACATCCCTGCTGACTAAGATAGAAAAAAAAAGCTATTGGAATAAGTAGTTTATAATCTTTGAGTAAATTATATTTTACGTGATTTTATAGCGCCCACTCGATAGGGAAACAGGCCTGTTATTTTTCACTAGATTTTTTGGAACTGATTTCTACATGGGGGAGTATTTTCAAACTTTTACTCTAGTCGCAAAGAAGAACCTCCTAAAAATTTAAATAAGTTGCCACGTAGTAAGAAATACGCTTTCCCTGATTTCAAATGTACAACAAAGTTTTACCAAGTTCTCATGATAAAAAAAAAAAAAATCAAATCTGAGGTTTGACAGAAGAAGCTCGCGGTGGGGACGAAACGAAGATTCAATCGTTACAGCACGTCAAACTGACAGCAAATCAAATATTAGCACAAAAGAATTAGAAAAAAAAAATGGGGTGGAGAGAAGACAAAAATGTAAAATTCGTCACGGTATTGGAAATGTGGAAATGACGAAGATTGTGATTTAATTTTAGAAGCAGGTAATGGAGCTGACTGCCAGGATGTCTTTCGAAATGGCGAGGAGCCTTAAGTTTAGACCTAACAAATGTAGCAGCCATACGAACTATATATGGAGCGAGCGATTTCTCATCCTCAGAAATATGTCCAAACCTGGCCAGAGTATTTATTTTTTCTTCAGATAATTGTTTCTTTCTTCTTTTTTTTACGTTTAACGATCACACTCTCCGTGGCGTTTTCGACGTGTTGATTGCGATTGCAGGCCAGCCGGCAATGTGGTGCGATCAGCAACTCGTGCTTAGGAACAGCTTCATTAATTTCTGCCAGAAATGGCTCATCCTCAAAGGTTTGTGTTTTTGTCGGAATTTATACTAACAGTATCGGTCATCCTTGTTTCTTTCTTATGAAATCTGATGTGCACCGCGTGTACCTTGCTTTAAATAAATACCGACACCCCAAAAAAAGTTTAGTTTTTATTCGCTTCTGACACTAGTTGATACTCTCAAGGCACCGTCTAAATGAGCAATACGTGGGAGCGCAAGATCAATGTAGAATTAATTACCCGAGATTGCGGTGACGACAGAAAAACAACAGGAAGAAGGAAAGAAGTATTTTATCTGTCGCCTCGGCAACCTCGGGTAATTGTACAATGACCATATAAATGTGTTTTTCTTGTGCGTGTGTGTGTGTGCGTGTGAGTATGAGTATGTTTTTTGTTTGTTTGTTTTTTTTGCTACAGTGTGTATGTGTTGATTATAACGTAAAAAAGTAATTGGCGACTTAAGCGAACTATAGAGGGCGCGCTGCTCAGGCAAAGTGGCGGGCGGACGAAAGGAGGTCGTTTTCGTCGTTCAGCACACGGACCACCACAAATTCCTGCACTGCAGCGTAAAATCAGTTTTACATTTGAAAGCAATTAAAGCGATGTTTCGACGGTAGAAACCTTCTTCTAGTCAGTGCGTGGGAATGACACGGCGGAATCATAAAAATAATGGCTGGAAACGATGTTTGTTTCTATGCTGCCGACGAGAACCAAGCAGCGATAGCAGACGACAGAGTCGAAACGCCCCCCTCTCCTAAACTTCTCGGCGCTGCCGCTACGCGGCGTTGATTTCGCTGGAGTCGCGAATACCGAAACCAGAGGACCAGCGCTGGGGGACTGCCGTCAGACACTCTGGGAGTTGCCAAGAGTCACGTCGTTTCGCTCCCGTGACTACAAGTTCAACGTTTATTTAAAACGACGCTTAATCAGTGTTTCAATAGACATACCTACTGC